GAACAAATTGGTCTTTCAGTTCGTGATAAATTTCATCCTAAAGTCGCACGACCACTATTTCAATGCCTGAAAGCTTGAAAATCAAGGTTTCATAAAATATTCTGTGCTAAAGAGGAAACGCACTGTCTCCTGCCGGTCTGTTGAGCAAATTCTAGGCTCTCTTGCAATTCTGTACTCCTATTCAGGCCAGCGATTCATCTAAGAAAGCCCACTTCAGCAGCTTGTACCGCCGATCGAAGATTTCCCCTCACGATCTACGACTCATGACCGTAGTTAGGCATGAGGAAAAGCTCGACTTGAACACCAAGTGCTTAGTCTCCAGACTCACCTCTGCTATGGTCCAACAGTTCGGGCTAATTCACGCAGAACGCCGCTGACTACGCCAATTTGCCGGTCTCTTCCTCAAATTTTCCATCACTAGTAAATACGACTCTAAAGTACTTGAACTTCTCCACCTGATCCACTGCTTCTCCGTTAATCTGAAGAGAACAACTGGCAAGATAACGAGAAAACACTAGGCTATTCGTTTTACATGCATTCATGCGCATGACGGTCACGTCACACAAGGCTGCGAATCTTTCATGGGAGCACCGTAAATCAGTTTCAGAGGATGCTAATAAAACAAGGTCATCTCCAAGCGGTGACTTTCTCGACTTCACATCTCTTACACAAATAGATTATTGCCTTGGCAGCTCCTGACTATTCTATCCATGTACAACACAAACAGGAGAGGGCTTAGAGCGCAGCCTTGGTGAAAACAGGTGCCAACGCTGATACGTTTCAACTTTATGCCATTTACTCTGACACACCACCTGCTATCACCATATTGTGATTGGATAGCCCATAAAAACTGGCTATCGATCCCATGCGTTTGCAGGCATGCCCAGAGGCTATTGCGAGGAATCCGGTCAAAAGCTTTCTCTAGGTCCACAAACCACATATGCATCCAATTGGCGAACGACCACGATTTCTCAACAATCAGGCATATGACAAATATTTAGCACTGGAGGCCAATAAAGTATTGTCCTGCTAAGTGGGACAATCCACGTGGTCTCTCTTGTTGAAGAGTGGTACAACAAACCCCGTTCTCCAGTCAGACGGCGTCTTCGCTTCCCCATAGTCATTACAGTTACATAGATACACGTAATCCAGCATGCGCTCTCTTCGCCTAACGCTTTGAGCATTTCAAGGCAGATTTAATCGATTTTAGCGACCTCTCCAATTTTCAAACTTCTCACAGCTTGTGTGATTTCATGCAGAAATGTACGAAAATCTGTTCCCTAGAGTTCTTCAGGCGAGTTTTACAGCAGTTACTCGGAGTTCCTCAAAATACATCGCCAAAGAATCTACACATCCTCGGTAAAAAGGTTTCGAGACATGTCGCTTAGGACTCTTAGACTGTCTTCTTTTGCATCTCAAAGGTAGCGGATGGTCTGCCGCAATACCTTGTTTCCTATTTGGATACTCGAATCCAGCACCTCACCAAATTTCTCCCAGGAACCAACTTTGGCTTTCGGCGTTGCCTTCACCACCACCGTACATGCTTATTCATAATGCATGTGAGTTGAAGGCTGTTTGCTTCTCAGCGATCTCTTGAATGCAGTTTATTTTCTCGATGACAGCCAGTTGAACCACACGTCATATCCTTCATCAAGTCTGTTTCTGACTTCCGGGCGGTAGGCCAACCCCCTTCAACGGTACCATTCCGCGACAGCTCCGAGTACGCTGTTCTTAAAGAGTTGGTTCTCTATTTCCACATCTGTTGTCATCTCCAGGATCTGCTATTCAAACCGTCGTACGATATTGTTTGCAAGTTTCGCATTCTTGCCCACGGAAGATAATGTTTCCTTCTTGATTCTCTGGTTGCTGCTGCTGACAGATCGTACTCCATGCCTCACAGCGTAGCTTGCCAACAATAAGGTGATGATCGGGTGACAGTTCTGCGCCTCTCTTGACTCGAACATTTATCACAGAGCGTCGTAAGTCAGACGATACAATTATTAAATCGATCATCGACTCTGTGCACAAGCTTTGCTGTATCAGGTATACTAATATGCAGTACGATGCATTAAGAAGGTGCTCACAACAGATAGTCTGATGTTTGTTTAAAACTGCGGCAATCTCTTGACCGGACTGTTGAAGTTACTAGAACCTTTCTCTGAAAATGTTCCTTTCCACTTCTCAATGCCTGCTTTAACTTGCGCATTAAAATCGCCCATTAGAATGAAAAACTCTATAATCGACAACTGTACAGAGAACGTTCCGTTTCCACAAGGAAAGATTTTTGTCCTCCCTCAAAATTAGACTCATCGACCTGTAAAAAGATCGAGATTTAACATGTTGTAGCCTCAGCAAGAGGATTGGCAATCTTCCACCGAAAGGCTTCCATTCAATGATTCTGCCAGACAGGCTTGCTTCTACATGAAAATCAACACCGGAATGAGCACACATCATTATGAGAACACTTGAGTAGAATAGCTTCCTCCCAGAGAGGTTCCGAATTTTAGATCCTTAACGCTTCTTTGACTAGTGGCAAACTTTGCTGAATTGAATCGGATCGGCATCAAGCTTCGTCACCTAGCTCCTGTTCTTTCCCTCCGAGTGACAATATAATCCAAGTTCTGACTGTAATCTCGCAATGTCTGTATCGCTCCCGTAGAATTTTATCTACCTGCTGTTGAGGCATCTCCATCTGTGCCTCCTCCGTTCAGAATGGGTGTGACCTCATTGCTGATTGGTATCTTTTTCGTC